TTCCTGGGTGTTCCAAGCTCTCCCATCCATCCTGTGGTTGTTCCTGGCTGTTCCAAGCTCTCCCATCCATCCTGTGGTTGTTCCTGGCTGTTCCAAGCTCTCCCATCCATCCCGTGGTTGTTCCTGGCTGTTCCCAGCTCTTTCCCATCCATCCTGTGGCTGTTCCTGGCTGTTCCAAGCTCTCCCATCCATCCTCTGGTTGTTCCTGCCTGTTCCAAGCCCCTTCCTGTCCCATCCATCCTCTGGTTGCTCCTGGCTGTTCCAAGCCCCTTCCTGTCCCATCCATCCTCTGGCTGCTCCTGGCTGTTCCCAGCTCTTTCCCATCCATCCTGTGGTTCCTCCTGGCTGTTCCAGCCCCCACCCCTGCCAAGAGCCCCTCTGCAGGGCTCTGCCACCCCCGGGCCGTGTCCCCCCGAGGTGCCCCCAACCCTCCTGTCCCCCCCCAGGGCCGCCGCCATGAGGCACTGCTTCTACAACGAGACCGTGGGCTTCTTCTACAACAACTCTCGCAAGGAGCTGACCACGTACTGGCGCACCAAGGACGTGCTGGTGGTGGCCCTGGGCCTGACCGTGAGCGTCATCGTGCTGCTGACCAACCTGCTGGTCATCACGGCCATCGTCATCAACCGCCGCTTCCACTACCCCATCTACTACCTGCTGGGCAACCTGGCGGCCGCCGACCTGTTCGCGGGCATCGCCTACATGTTCCTCATGTTCCACACGGGCCCCCGCACGGCCGAGCTGTCCCTCAAGACCTGGTTCATCCGGCAGAGCCTGCTGGACACCAGCCTGACGGCCTCGGTGGTGAACCTGCTGGCCATCGCCGTGGAGAGGCACCAGACGGTGTTCACCATGCAGCTGCACAGCAAGATGTCCAACCAGCGCGTCACCATCCTCATCTTCTGCATCTGGGTCACGGCGCTGCTGCTGGGGCTCATCCCCTCCTACGGCTGGCACTGCCTCTGCGCCCTGGACAAGTGCTCCAGCATGGCCCCCCTCTACAGCAGGAGCTACCTGACCTTCTGGGCCATCTCCAACCTCGTCATCTTCCTCATCATGGTGGTGGTGTACACGCACATCTTCATCTACGTCAAGAGGAAGATGACCAGGATGTCCAAGCACACCAGCTTCCACCCCCGCTACAAGGAGACCATGATCAGCCTGGTCAAGACGGTCACCATCATCCTGAGTGAGTCCACGGGCTCTGATCAGCCCAAAGGAGGCTTTGGTCCCCCGCCCTGGGCTCTGTGGGGCGGGGAGGTGACAACAGGGAGGGCTGGGAGGTGACATTCCCTGGTGTCTGGGGCTGTGGGGTGGTGGTTGGGGTGGTGGTTTGGGTTGGGTGCTGAGGAACTCAGCAGTTTCAGGATGTGGATTTGCTCAGTCCGTGTGCTCAGCTCAGTCCAAAGGATGTTTTAATCCTCCCCCCTGGGCTCTGTGGGGTGGGGAATTCAGAACAGGGAAGTGAGGGAAGTGAGGTTCTGCTTCTCTGGTGCCTGGAGCTGTGGGGTGGTGGTTTGGGTGGTGATTTGGGTCGGGCTGAAGAGGAACCCAAGAGTTTCAGGACCTGAGTGAGTCTGTGTGCTCAGCCCAGTGCAGAGGATGCTTTGGTCGCCTGCCCTGGGCTCTGTGGGGTGGGGAGGTGGCAACAGGGAAGTGAGGGAAGGCACATTCTGTTCCCTGGTGTCTGGGGCTGTGGGGTTGTGGGCTGGGTGGTGGTTTGGGTTGGGTGCTGAGGAACTCAGCAGTCTCAGGACGTGGATTTACTCAGTCCACGTGCTCAGCTCAGTCCAGATGACACTTTAATGCCCCACCCTGGGCTCTGTGGGGTGGGGAGGTGACAGCAGGGAGGGCTGGGAGGTGACATTTCCTGCTCTCTGGAGCTGTGGGGTGACTTTTTTCACAAGATTCCTGTGATTCCATTGATTTCCCCCTCATTTCCCCCTGATTCCTCCCTGACTTCCTCCTGTTTTTCCCCCGATTTCCCCCTCGCTTTCCCCCCGATTTTCCCCGGATTTCCCCTCTCCCAGGCGCCTTCGTGATCTGCTGGACCCCCGGGCAGGTCGTGCTGCTCCTGGACGGGCTGGGCTGCAAGAGCTGCAACGTGCTGGCGGTGGAGAAGTACGTGCTGCTGCTGGCCGAGATCAACTCCCTCATCAACGCCATCGTCTACTCGTACCGCGACACGGAGATGAGGAGCACCTTCCGCCGCATCCTCTGCTTCCCCTGCCCCCGGAACTCCAAGTACACGCCCACCGTGGTCAAGCTGAACACGGCCGACCGCGGCACCCTCTCGCACAACGGCCACTTCACCGTCGACTCCTCCATCTAGCCCCGAATTCCCGGAGCTGTCCCGCTCCCGGGACGGGCTCTCCGGCATCCCAAAGGCTCCGGCACGGACGGTTCCCCCCCCTCCCCGGGAGGATGAGGATGAAGGACGAGGTGGTTTCACGGACCTCGGAGGGGGATTCTCATTAAAGACTCTTTTTAACGAGGGGGTTGAGTGGCTGTGGCGGCGTCTGGAGGCGCGGGACGGGAATTTCTCTGGGCGAGCAAAGTATTTCCTCGGTCCTTCAGTATTATCCCTCGGGAATGGCCCTTCCCAAAACTCTCCGGGTTCACCTGTCGCTCAGAGCCTGACCCCGGGCTGTGTCCCACCTGCTTCCCAAGGCTGGTTATCCCTCTAAGCCTCCTCTGAGGGGAATCCCTGCAAATTGCTTCCTGAGAAGCAGATCCCTGCTTTCCCAAGCGGGTGTTTTTAATTGGATTTCGGAGCATTCCAGGATGTTTGGGAGCACGGAATTCCTCGCTGAGCTGGAGAGGGGCCGTGAGGAGCTGCAGTTGTGTTTGTGCTCTGCTAAGTGATACCATGTGCTCACGGGTGTGGAGTGAGTCATGTTCCCATTAAACCAGCCCTCAGCTCCCTGGAAATCCCTCTGGGACAGCTCGGGGTCACATTCCGAGGCACATTCAGGATTTTTAACGTGCGGGTTTTGTACCTTAACGCCTCAGATCCGCCCCAGGCACGTTTTTCTCCCTGCAGAGAAACTGGGAATCTTCATTCATGGCAACCCCTCTCCTGGGATGTGAATGGTCAGTGTCGATTCTGGGGCTGTGTCTGGAGGGGAGAACATCCAGAATGTTCTCAGAAACCGGGAATAATCCTCCAGCTTTCCTTCACTTTCACATCGTTAAACTCCAGCCGGTGTGAAAAGCAGGGGGAGTTGTTTTCTGTGTGGCGCCGGAATATCATCTAAATTTATAATTTTAGGGTGGTTTTCTTAATCAAACATCCTGTTTTTGTCCGAGGATCAGCCCCCAGAGCGGCCACTTGAGGAGAGCACGACTTTCTGGAGGGTTTCTTTGTTGCAGAGCAGAGTCAGGCGGGGGCAGCGGGGAGGGTGACGGGTCTCCTGGACTGACTCAAAGCCTTGGAATATCCTTCCCACCTCTGTGTCCCAGAGACTCCTGGAATAAACGTTTTTGCCCTGGGTTTTAGAAAAGAAAAGAGTTGGATGTGGAGAACTGGAGTAAAATATGGGTGGGACTGGGGTGGAGGGGGACGGGACCCCAAGGGGGGGTTTGATGGGACCCCAAGGGGGGGTTTGATGGGACCCCAAGGGGGGTTTGATGGGACCCCAAGAGGGGGTTTGATGGGACCCCAAGGGGGGGTTTGATGGGACCCTATGGGGGGTTTGATGGGACCCCAAGAGGGGGTTTGATGGGACCCCACGTGGGGGTTCAATGGGACCCCAAGGGGGGGGTTGATGGGAGGGGCCTAATCGGGTAAGGAGGCGTGGCCACAGGTGAGGGGGGGTGGGCGGGGCAGTGGGCGGGGCATGACGGTGATGTGGGCGTGGGCACTGGGGAGTGGGCGTGGTCCACGGGGACAGCGGGGGGTCCTTACCGGGGGTGGGCGTGACCCCTTCGGCAGTGGGCGGGGACTAACGGAGAACGTGGGCGTGTCCCGCGCGGGCATCGGGGGCGTGTCCGGCGGTGGGCGCGTCCCTTGTCGACACAGGAGAGGGCGTGTCCATCGGTGGGCGTGTCCCGCGTCCGGCGGTGGGCGTGTCCATCGGTGGGCGTGTCCCGCGGCGGCGG